TCGCATGACCGGGCGTGAAAACCAAAGCGTCACCACACGCGGGTGGCTCCTCGCTTCCCCAGGACAGGCCGGGAGACCAAAAAACGAAATCTCCGCCGGGAGACCAACCGCCCCCTGAGTCGATCGAATCACTCAGTATCCACACCAAGACACAGGTAGGAAGTGAAGGGACGCCCCATGTAGGCCATGCCGACTCTATCACGAACGATGAGCACGGGTCCCGGTCGGACATTTCTGACCGAAGCTCTCCAAGCCCCATCACTCCAGTCGTCAAGGTAAACGCTATCAAAACCCCCTATATTTCTTTAAACTCATTCATACATCCATACACGCATTCATCTCATACGCCTATACCCCCCGGAAGGTTAGGGCATGAACCGCCTGGAGGCTCGGGAACTAAGCATCGCACATGCAGTGAAATACACCAGAACGCTCCGTGTTGCGTCACGAAGCGGCGGTTGCCTCATTCGACATGGGCAACCAACATAGCCAGGGGAGAAAACCATAGATGAGCACCGTGCGGCCCTATCCTGGTCCGACAGACCGGGTCATCTCAACCTTCTCGTTCGATCCTAAACCTCTCGCCAGGCCCATAGAATCTCCATCGAGGGGAGGCCGTTAGGCCACCCGGGTCGGTCTCCGGAACAACCTAGGCATCTTCCGGGTTGTAGGTAAAGGAGTAGTGGAATGTCACAAGAGGGTTGTGCCGACCCCGTCACGAACGACGGACCCGAATTCCACTCGATCACACCCGTTAGCGAACTCACCGAGCTAGTCTTCGAGCCCGAGTGATCGGGACAGGCGACGAAACTCAGCCCCTCCTGTTGTGAGGAACCGAGGATGGGGTAACGCACAATACTCATATCGACCCCCATAAAGGACCGATAGGGCTCGGGGGCTCAAGACAAATGCCAAGGACGGCGACCTCGAACTCGCCAGATCCACGACTCCGACTCGTTCGGTCCCGCGGCGTGCACCGACGCCAGGATCCACGAGCTTTGCCTCGTCCGATCTTTAACCAAACTAACTACGCTTCGGCTTCTGAACGGCTTCACTTCCGACTGCGCTCCAATAAACCTGGGACCGCGACTCCTGAACTCGCGTAACGGCTTCAAAATGGCTTCACTTCCGACTGCGCTCCAATAAACCTAGGACCGCGACTCCTAAACTCGCAGAACGGCTTCAAAATGGCTTCACTTCCGATGCGCTCCCGGACTCCTAGGATCTGTGACCCCAAACTCACGCTATATGGCTACGAGTCTCGGCTCGACCGATTCCTAAACTAACTAAAACAAACTTTCAATCCACACGGTAGACCGACGCTCTGGTTGCGCTCGTGACTCGCCTCGACCCATCCCACGGTGCGCATCGACGCCAAAGATCGGTGAGCTCTGTCGCATCCAAGCTATCTCCATCTGTGGCGCGCACCGACACTAGGGTTTATCCCGAACTAACAGTCTCACCCAATCCACGGCACGCACCGACGCTGGGATCAGGAAGTTCTGTCTCAACTCCGTGCCAAGAAACCGCTTCGGCTGCGCAACGACACTATGGTTAATAAAAAATCTGTCTCAAACTAAAAACACACATGCCCGCTGAAACAACACCCCAGACGATTCTCGCTCAACCACCCGGGGCTCGGGGACTACACCCAGGTGCGCGCGGCAGACCGCCGACAAGAAGAAAATCCCCCGGACGATTCGGCTCGAATCGCCCGGGGGCTCGGGGGCTCCTGTCGGGTTCATAAACCCGGGGTCCCTCGGGGACCGGCTTCCACGCCAAGGCTCGATCCGAGAGTCTAAAGACAACATGGCAAAGGGCGGTCCAAAGAACCAACCGAAAGGCCTGGCCCAAGAAGAGCAACGTCTGTTCGTCAGCTATTTCGGCCCACCTATCCGACCAGAGCGCTCGATTCGGGCTCCAGCCGCCTCCAGACGCCCTCTCCGATCGGAAGGCCTGCCTGAGGCCTACTTCCGACTCCGACCCCACGCCTCTCTGACCCGGGGTACGTGAGAACCCCGCTCGCCGCTCTTCTCCGACCAGCGCAACCAAAGCCGGCTGGGGCCATCCGACCGGGGACGCCTTTGCCGGAAGGAACCAGATGAATAGAGAAAGCAAGATGATAGTCGAACCACGGTGCAGGACCATACCTCAGACACAAGGGAATAGTGCTACACAACTGTCCTGACACAAACAGTATTGTAGGCGTCGACATTTTACTCCTACAGTATTGTAGGCGCCGGGATTCATCATGCCCGGTAAACGTGGTAGGGCTCACACATGCCTCGGGCAAACAAGATTTTTGCGTGTATCAACATCAACCCTTCCCGAAGAAGACACCGCAACCTCCCACATGCACCGACATTCTATGGTGACATCAACAAAGTGTTGTGGGCGCCTACCATTATCCAATCCTCATCGGGCGTGGGCGACAAGGCTTAGTAACATCCATATTCTCTCCTCTCACACAGTAAACCCATCCCCTTTTTCTATAAAAGGGGATGTGCTCCCTCCAACGAAGGAGATCGACTTCTTCAAGTTGAGATTCACTAGATCGATAGCTCGCAACCCTTCAAGCACACGCTTGAACACCTAGCTCATAGCGGAGTTCTAGTCGCCCTCGGCCATTCCGGTCAGACCCGACCGGGCCTCTCGTACACCCAACCTTTCTCCTTCTCGTTTATAACCCCACTACTGACTTCGAGCACCTGGGCTCAGGAATAAAGTCATAGACCAACCCAGACTAGACGTAGGGCACGTTGCTTGAACCAGTATAAAGACTGTCATTGAGTGCTAGGCCACCTCCGTTCACAACGTACAACAAAACTACAAATATTCACTAGTTGGTCACCTTCTGACATGCCGGGGATACCACGGGAGGACGCCGAGCACGCACTACGCCTCATCCCGGGCTCGAAGCCCGCCAAGCAGCGCCTGCGTCGTTTCGACGATGAGAGGCACAGGGCCATAGGCGAAGAGATCACCAAGGTCCTGGTAGCAAGTTGAGATTCACTAGATCGATAGCTCACAACCCTTCAAGCATACGCTTGAACACCTAGCTCATAGCGGAGTTCCGGTCGCCCTCGGCCCTTCCGGTCGGACCCGACCGGGCCTCTCGTACACCCCATATTTCTCCTTCTCGTTTGTAACCCCACTACATACTTCGAGCACCTGGGCTCAGGAATAAAGTCGCCGACCGACCCAGACTGGACGTAGGGCACGTTGCCTGAACCAGTATAAATCTGTGTCATTGAGTGCTAGGCCACCTCCGATCACAACGTACAACAAAACTACAAATATTCACTAGTTGGTCACTTTTTGTACCGACACATTGATTCAAGACTATTTACTCTAATGATTTACCGGATTCAAGTAGACAAATTTGAGCTAAAACCCATGCCAAATTCCTACTCCGTGACACAATTTCCCTTATTCCTTGTTGTGAACAACTTGTCAATTCCCCTCGTAAGAAGACTCGCCAAGCGCCACCTGCTTCACCCAGTTCAGCGTGTCACCTTGACGAACCGCTTCAAGATCTGGACCAACTCCTCGTTCGCCTCGCTCCCACCCTCTTACGGAGAAGCCATGGCGCCCCCACAAACTCGACCAACTCCACAGCCTTTCCCACCTCCTCCAACCTCGCCCAGAAGCGCCGCATGTGGTCCGAGCGTGTCAAGCCACCGCACCACGACGAGCGCGCCGGTGGCGCCGGCCAAGGGGGCTCCAAAGCGGGGCTGTCCATAAAATAACGGGTTGGATGGGTGATCTCTCCTTTGGGAGACGAAGGATTTGCTTGCATTGCATCGATGGCGGTGTGTGTGCGAGGACGGAAGCCAAATGCTTAATTCTCCGCAGAACCGTCAAACTGTCTCACCTCCGTCCTCATTCCTCGGTCCTCACTACGGCGGGGACGCGGACTGTCGCAATTCTACATGCACATGCACATGACCGGTACGATTCTGGCTTGGGCTTTAATTCTGAGGCCCAGAAGCCACGTGTGGACGACGATAATGGGCTAGCGCTAAACTTACGCATGTCTCCCCACCCTCATTGGGCTAAACTTGCGTGGGCGAGTTACCAAGCTTCATCGCTAGGCCCCAAGTGCCCAAAGGCTCATAAACCTTCCCATCCGCCATCCGCATTTTCGCATTAATGCAAACAAATAGGGGGCAAAATAGTACGATAGTATAGAACCCAAAAGGCCAAAACCCATCGACCTCGTCGTCGGAATAAGATCGCTGCAGCCGATCGCAGAGCGACTTTCTCTCCGCCGGGCAAGATCCGAGATGTTCATTGTGATCCAATGGTGACCCTAACTAAACTCATCTAGCAAGCCGTTCTAGTGGCCCATCGCAGCCCAAACATCGCACTCGTCTTCGCTGTTCTCGTCAACGCTGGTCATCGACGCCCACCACAGCAGCGTCGACGAGCGCAACCATGGCGGACCCCTCCTCCTAGCTCATTGATCTCGTCAACGCCGTCGACGCTGCTCACAAGGAGATCGTGGGACAGGGCGGGCACCTTGGCTTAACGTGGCGGCAGCGGGCGAAGGGCGCCCGGCAGCGTCGACAAGCTTGGAGCCAAGACGAGCACCTTGATGTCGCCGGCGACGTCGGCGTCGTCCTTGGTGGAAAGCCCATCGCCGGAGGCGCAGCATGTCAAGGTCGTGGCGTCCCTCGCGGCGGCCTCGCATGACAGTCGAAAGCGAATTCGCTAGACAGTGATCGAAGCGGTGATATTGCTTCCCACGACACGCGACGCACGCACGAAGCTCGCCATGGACGACTATCGGTCCTTCAACTCCGCCGCCGTCTTTCTCGTGCATAACTGAGTAACTGACCTCGAGCTGCTACTCTCCCGCGAACTCGTGCGTTAGACCGTCCAGGTGCCTCAGAGGACTCTGTCTTGCCGCGGTGGCCGCGGCTTCCGCGCCCGTCGCCAATGATGAGACCGCGGTGGCTGCGGCTTCCGCGCCCGTCGCCGTCGCGCTCGCGGCGCTGATGGACTGCCGCGCCGCTGGCCTCGTCGCCGCGCTGTCGTGCGAGGCCGCCAGGGACGCCACGACCTTCGACATGCCAGCCTCCGGTGACGTGCTCTCCGCCAAGGACGAGGCCAACGTCGCCGCCAACATCAAGGTGCTCGTCTTCGGCTCCATGGTTGTCGGTGCTGCCGGGGGCGCCCTCGCCGCCGCCGCCACGTTCGCCAAGGTCCCTGTGAGCGGCGTCGACGGCGTGACGAGATCAACGAGGAGGAGGAGTCCGCCATGGCCGCGCCCGTCAACGCTGGCTATAGCTGCGACGATTTCGGCTGCAACGGCGGAGTCCAGGACTGGTACGAGTCGCCCGGGTATCCTTCACGTGGCTGGGCTAAGATGGGCCGGCTGTAGGCTTCCAAGACTAGTTTGGTTCTGGCGTTTTGTGGGCTCACGGTTGGATCTGAAACGGACGGTTCAGATGCATGACTGTAGAGACAAGTCGATTTGCCCGACTGCAGAGGGTCTCATTCCACCTCGTCGCCGGCAGCACCAGCGCCCAGCGGCGGGCATCAACAGCAGGTCAGCAGCACTATGAGCGCCTTCCCCTCGTTATTCACCACGCTAATCCTCCTCCGCCTCCTCCTTACCTTTGATTTTTTTTCTGTTCCTCTTATTGTTTTTATTACACGAGATGGGTGTACCCTGTCCGATTTCGACTGCTCTCCGCCTTGCCGCATGCGAATGTCGCTGTTGTTGATTTCCTCTCTATGTTTGGATGGTGATTATCCCACTCTTCACGCACGCTGCCTGGGCCGGTTAGGATTCCTAGGGTTTAGTGGTCGGGCTAGAGTTGGGTTTGGATTTGGGCCAGGGGCCAAAGCTCTATTCTGTGATGGACATGAACAAGCAGAATGTGCAGGATCATTTATAATTGACTGTAATTGAGTATCTGGGCATTGGGGGAATCTGATCCTAGGTTGTCTGTCACAATATAGGATTATAGGTTTACAAGATTCTTGTGCTCAAACGAAAGTGATTTGCACGATTTCCGCTAGTTGTGATTTAAATTTGGTTGTCCCATTAATTTTCTCTCCCAAGTCCCAAGTGCTACGAAGAGTTTTCGTACCTTGTTTTTATTTCCATTTTCTGCCTCCTCTGAATACAGCTGAAGCTGTATACCTATACCAGTTTGACAAATTTGAACATGATGATGCTCTGTTTTTTTAAAGGCCGTGATGCTGTTTATTACTGGGCTATTGACCATCAGGGAAATGTAGATCAATTGGTACTCAGCTAGTAACCAAAGACGATGTTCTTGTTGTGCGATCAGTTTCTCTTGGTTTCTACTTTATAGATAGAAGTTGACACAATAATAATGTTTCTCGTTCTGCTTATCGCCTCCATTAAAATCAATTGTTCTGTTGCAAAACTGAAACACACATTTTTTTACTCTGTTCTGGTAAATTCGAACTCTAACACTAGTTAACTATGAACGCCTGTATAACTTCCTTTCCCTGGTGGCAGTAGCAGACACCAATAAGCCACCAAGAGATTGGAAGACTTATCATAAGGACAGGATATCATGGCTACTAATGAATTATCGTTGAAGCTCTTGATTGATACCAAGGCTCAGAAAGTCTGCTTTGCTGAGGCTGGCAATGACGTTGTTGAGTTCCTCTCCACCCTCTTGTGCCTCCCTGTGAGCACCATTACCAGTTTGCTTACCAAGGAGCGAATGGTTGGCAGCATTGGGAATGTTCTTGACAGTCTGCAGGAACTGGACGCCAACTATGTGATCTCAAGCAGGAGCAAGGAACGCTATGTCAGCCCAGCCGTCGCTCCCAGTGTGCTTCATCCTTTGCAGCAGCTTCTGGATGCACCGCTAAATGCCAGTGATAGTTTTTTCACATGTCAGGGGAAAACGGACAGCTATGGAAGACTTTCTGCACCTGCATGTGGGCACCATATGCCCTAGTTGTTCCAATTCAATGAATGTTGCAATGAGACATGTCAAAGCCGATGGGTTGGTGGCTGGGACTGCCACGTACACTGTCAAGGACGATCTCTCAATAACTCCGGCATCTAGCGTGTCTAGCATTGCCTTGCTCGCACAGAGTGGTGTGAAGGATCTGAGCACGCTGCAAGAAAGGATCGTGAAGATTGGCAAGGAAGAGGTTGCATACTTATTTATTATTCTCCTTGTAAGTTGTTTTGGTACTTTCAAACCTGTTGTGTTTATTGTGATTTCTGTATCCAAATGCAGGTGTTGGAGATACTTCTTTCTTCCTTGAAGTCTAAGACAGTCCTGACCGATGTCTTTCTCCAGAAGAAAAAAGTTCGATGCAAGAAGGAAACTGCTGCTTAATAATGCATGCATGGCCCCATTTCTATTGGGCTTCTCATGTCTAGATCACCACCAGTAGTTTACTCAGAATGGTAGTTACAAGTTAAAGCTAGTGGACAGAGGACAAATCAGCTATAACCCCTTTCATGCTCAAGAACTACTGCCAGTGGGGTCTTCCATGCTTTGATGACCATTTCACATGGTACGAAGCAAAATAGATGGATATATGGCCTTATCTTGTGGTACTTTTTTCTAGCAGTGATTGAATAATTTTAGTAGGCTGTTGATTTCTTATGTATACATTTAAATTTTCAGTTGACAAATACTTAATTGGAGGTGCTTTCTGAATATTTGTGTTGTGATTTCTGAATATTTCCTCAATTTAACCACCAAATTCTGTTGACACCATAAAATCAGCTGTCTGGACTTTGGAGCAGAAAAAGAGTCGAAGCCAAGAAATTTGAATCCTAGGACAACACAGAAGCTTTTGACTTGGCTTTGGGTTATCTTCTGTGGGGAGCGGTTGTAGGAGGAAAAAGGGGAAAAAAGCATATCCTTATACATCTACCATTGTCAAACTTTGTGCGTGTCTTTGTCATGATTCTAGATGCTTAATAAACTTCACATTAATATAGGATAGTACTTTAGTTTATCTCTAGCACCAGCCAATACTTTATTAGAAGTTTGCCTAGTCAAAGTCTCAGTGTTTGTGAACCCATATTATGACTTCTTCACAATGCTGATGAATAACATTTTTTCTTTCTTTCAATGCACACATGCTTCCTGATTATTGGCATTAGCATTAGCATTAGCATTAGCATTGGCTATGATTTCTTCATGTTTCTGCCAATTATTGTGCATTCAGGCATGTCCCTATGAATAAATCCTCCTTCTCTAGAAAGAAAAACATAATCCAACTCCTCGTCTATTATACCAATTCAGGAGAGATCACAAGAATCACTAACTGCCATGGCATCCAAGACCAGCTTCAAGAGCTTTCTTCTGCGAGTTTCTGCAGCTCTTGTCATCCTAGGAAACCTCACCTGCAGTTGCTTGAATTCAGCTACCCAACCTTCGACACAGCCAACCAGGCTGATTTCAGCTTCAGCCCAGGCTCAGGAATTGCAAATGGATCCCTGCAGATCACGCCAAGCACCGGAAACATCAGCGGCCGATCAGGAAGGGTCTGCTACTTAAGGGAGACTCTCAACCTTTGGAACAGCAATATGACAGCGCCTGCGTCGTTCTTCACCGAGTTCGTGCTCAACATCCAGCCACAGAACGGGACTGTTGGAGAAGGTATGGCTTTCATACTCACAAATAACCCGGCACTTCCCAGCGACAGCAGCGGGCAGTGGCTCGGCATCACCAACAACCAGACGGATGGCGCAACCAAGAACCGGGTTGTCGCGGTAGAGTTTGACACGAGGAAGAGCTTCAAGGACGACCCCGATGGAAACCATGTCGGGATCGACATCAACAGCATCAACTCAACTTACTGGTACCCAGTCAGTAATCTTTCCATCGTTCTGTCTAGTGGGTCTGATGTGTGGATTAGAATAGAGTACGCACTGCTGCAATGTTGAGAATACAAGCAGTCCAGAAAGGTCACACCTTCGAGTATTTTTGGCCCCTTGATCTGTCACGGCATCTCTTGTTGGAGAACCTCACTCTCAGTTTTGCAGCTTCAACCGGCGATTTCGCTGTACTGAATCAGATAAAGTCATGGAATTTTAGTACGCCTGGCGCTGACTCCAACAGTAAATTGGGGCATAGGAGGAAGCTGACTTTGGTTCTTGCCTTACTGGCCCTATTTCTGATTGCTCTGTCATCGTCTCTGGTGTTCTTCGTATGGCGAAGGATGACAGGACTGCGAAGGCCATCCTACCGCAACCTGGAGAAGATGATCGACGCACATGGTCCGGTCAGATTCAAGCTCAGGGAGCTGAGGAGTGCAACTGCCAACTTCAGTCCTGCTCGTAAGCTTGGCCATGGCGGCTTCGGCACAGTTTACCTTGGCTACCTTCAGAGGATGACGATGAATATAGAGGTGGCCGTGAAGCGGGTGTCGACGAACGGAAACTCCAGCCGAGGGGAGCAGGAGTTCCTGGCGGAGGTGAACACGATCAGCAAGCTCTCGCACCGCAGCCTCGTGAAGCTCATCGGGTGGTGCCACGAGAGGGGCGAGCTGCTCCTCGTGTACGAGTACTATCCCATGGGCAGCCTGGACAGGCACCTGTACGCAGGCGAACGAAGCGCCCCGCCTCGACAGCGGCGACAACCGCCGCTGCTAGTCCGGAGCTTACTTGGGAACGGCGGCACAAGATCATCTGCGGCGTGGCGTCCGCGCTGGAGTACCTGCACCACGGGAGCAGCAGACGGATCCTCCACCGGGACGTGAAGGCCAGCAACGTGATGCTGGACGAGGAGTACAACGCGCGGATGGGCGACTTCGGCCTCGCCCGCGTCATCGAGCGGGACGGCGTGACGCACCACTCCACGAAGGCGGTGGCCGGCACCCGCGCCTACATGGCGCAGGAGAGCTTTTTACCGGCCGCGCGACCCTCGCCACGGACGTGTACGCGTTCGGCGTCTTCGTCATGGAGGTCATCAGCGGGAGGAGGCCGAGCAGCTCCGTGCTGTACGGCAACGTCAACGGCGACGAACGCGATGAACCAAGCCGCAGGCGTGGCCGGCACCGGCGGCAGCAGCAGCAGCAGCCCATGTCCATCGTGGACTGTACCTGGAGGCTCTACGGCGAGGGCAGAGCGATGCATGCTGCCGACGGCGCAGTGCTGGACAATGGCGCCGAGCTTGACCCAGCGCAGGTGGAGCGCGCGGTGAGGCTGGCATTGGCGTGCTGCCATCCGAACCCGAGAGAGAGGCCGTCCATGAGGACGGCGGTGCAGGTGCTGATCGGCGGAGCTAAGGCGCCTGAGCCGCCGATCCACAAGCCCGCGTTTGTTTGGCCTCCTCGCGGTGATGAGGCTCCGGAGATCGAGCTGCTGGATGTCGGTCTGCTTTTCACGGGAGGGCAGACAACCTATTGTTCGTTGAGCTGTTCATCATTCACTGGAAGGTGAGATACGTCGGCTGTATTTGTAGTTTTGTGCAGCTGTTAGGCTAGGGAATTAAAATAATACTAGTAGTTAGTACAAATCTTTCATAATAATACTGAAAGTTTGTTGTATCCGTATGTGCAATGACTTGTCTAGTTTGTTATGAACGACGTATAGGAATATGAAGTAAAGAATCAAACCACAGAGGAGACACACGATTTAACGTGGAAAACCCCTCCGATGTGAAGGGGAAAAACCACGGGCACCAGCCAGCAACAATCTCACTATCTCAAGAGTTTTGGGTTACACGCCTATGGCGGCTTACAAGAGAATCAAGTCTCCACGAAACCCTAGCAAGGGTGTATATATACTGTACCGTACCGCTACGCTCCGGCCCAAGCCTCCGGCGACGGGCCTCCGCTTCGCTCCGTCAGAAGCCTGGCCTATATCCTGGAGTGAATTTGGAACAACTCCAACAAACTCCACCTTGAGACAAATTCATCTTGTATCATAAATCAACCCTTCATCCTGAACATACCAAAGATAGAAAACCACTGGTGCCAACAATAGTCTCTTGGACTATCCAATTAAACCAACTAAGCTTGAGCACAGCTCAAACTTAGCAACAGAATGAGCTTTGTCATCATATCGCTAGGATTATCATGAGTACTAATCTTGCATACCTTCACTTACCTTCTTCAATCACATCACGCACAAAATGATACTTGATATCTATGTGCTTAGTTCTCTCATGGAACATCGATCTTTAGTGAGGTAAATTGCACTTTGGCTGTCACAAGGCAAACTTATGCAAGATTCAACTCCACAAAGCTTCAACAGACAAACCTTTCATACCAAAATAATTTTTGCACGCTTCACAAATAGCCATATATTCTCGCTTGAAGAGTAGACAAAGCAACAATCGATCGAAGTAGCCCTCCAACTCACAAAGACAATCGCCAACAAGAAACACATAACCTGTAAGTGATCTTCGCCTGTCGGATCAGTGACAAGATCGAGAATCCACATAGCCAATAAGACCCTTATCAGTTCTTCCAAACTTTAAACAGAATCATTGTGCTCGAGGTACTGAAAATCCACCGAATCGCCTCCAATGTTCTTTGCCAGGATTAGACATATATCTACTAACAAGACTCATAGCATATGACAAATCTGAACGAGAGCAAACCATGGCATACATCAAAGACCCAACAAACACTAGAATAAGGAACCCTTGACATATATTCAATCTCTCAGATCTCTGTACTAGGACACTTTGAGCGGTGACAACTTAAAGTGAGGTGCAATAGGGTACTAATGAAGCTTAGCATTTTGCATGTTGAAACGTGAAGAACTTTCTTGATATAATTTTGTTGACTAAGAAATAGCAAACCAGATTTTCGTCTCTACTAATTTCCATACCAAGAATTTTCTTAGCACTACCAAGGTCTTTCATATCAAACTCACTACTCAATAGCTTCTTTAACTTAGTGATTTCAATCTTACTCTTGGCAGCAATCAGCATATCATCAACATATAACAGCAAATATATAGGTGATCCATTAACATGCTTGATGTAAACACAGCTATCATACTTAGATCTTTTAAAACTGTGTGCTAACATAAATGAATCAAACCTTTTGTTCCACTGACGAGGGGACTGTTTCAAACCATACAAGGATCTCTTCAACTTGCACACATATTTTTCCTTGCCAGGCACTATGAACCCTTCTGGTTGGTCCATGTATATGTCCTCCTCAAGCTCTCCATGCAAAAACGCAGTCTTCACATCTAACTTGCCTTATACTTTGGAGGCTCGCTTGGAGATAAACCCTCCTTTCTCTTGAAGATCCATTTGCAGCTGATGGTCTTCTTATTCTTAGGCAAAGGTACAATCTCTCATGTACTGTTCTTCTCAAGAGACTGCATCTCCTCATGCATAGCAGAAATCCAATTCTCAGTATCACCACAACGAATAGCTTCTTTATAGGTTGCTGGCTCATGAACATTCTCCACTGTTCAAAGACAACTCAAAGCATAGTAAGACAAATTACACTCTTCAATAAGACGCTTAGGAGGTGCAATTGTCCTTTTGACTTGCGTTGAGCAATAGGTAAATCCTCCTCTAATCGCAAAATAGGAGGAGTTTCTTTGAACATCATCATGAGCATCATCCTCAAAGAACATCATTATCATGGTCACCATGCTCATCAATAGGCTCCACCGCACACCTGATCATCATCAACATGCTCCACCTGCATGCGCATACGCCGCAGCTCCTTTTCTCGAACATGATCCGAGGGCAAACCGTCAATAAACATCATGATTCATTGAAAACAACACTCCCCGCTCATAAAAGTCTTTCCTGCTTTCAGATTCCACAATTTATAGCCTTTGACTTTAACTATAACCAAGGAAAAGACACTTAACAGCTCTAGGCTCTAATTTTCCATTATCAACATGAGCATAAGCGGTGCATCCAAAAACTTTCAACTGTGAATAATCAAGTGAGCGTATTCGCACCATACCTCAATGGGAGTTCTTTTATTTAGTGGAATAGAAGGCGAACTGTTTTATCAAGTAACAGCAAGATTAGTAGCTTCAGCCCAAAAACGCTTGCTCATCCCGGCATTAGACAAAGATGCAACGGGCCTTGGACATGATGGTTCGTTCATGCGTTCGCCACACCATTCATTGTGGAGTATGGGGTATGGTGTGATGCCTAACAATGCCTTCCGATTTGCAATAATCATTAAATTCACGCGAACAAAATTCTCCACCATTATCAAGACGAAGCAATTTTACCTTCCTTTCGGTTGCCTTTTTCTATCATTACTTTCCAGTTCTTAAAAGCAGCAAAAGTATCATCTTCTGCTTTGTAAAATAAGGCCAAACCCTTCTAGAGTAATCATCAATAATTGTAAGCATGTAACGAGCACCACCAAGTGAGGACTTACGGAAGGACCCCATAAATCAGCATGAACATAATCAAGAGTACCTTTAGTGGTGTGAATGAAGTGTTGAAATGTACCCTTTTATGCTTCCCGAAAATACAATGCTCACAAAACTTTATTTTACTCGAAGTGCAGCCATCCAAAGAGGTTTCTCTTCATCAATTCTCGCCATACCATGGTGACTCATATGTCCCAAACGATATGCCAAAGGTTAGTTTTACTAGGTTCATCATTAGTAACAAAGAAAGAAAAAATGAATCGAACTGTGTAAAGTACACCCTCTAAGGACATATAACTTTGCGTAATTAAGATCACCTTTCAAGCAAACAAGAGAACTTTTGATACCTTGTAACGCCATCTCGAACCAAAATATTTGTAACCTTATCGCATCAATCGTGCTCAATGAGATAAGATTTCTGGACATCCCTGGTATATACCTGACATTTTTCAGCGTGCGTGTCATGCCATCATCAGTCTTGATCTGAACTGATCCAATCCCCACAATGTCACACGGGTTATCATCTCCCATCCGCACAACATCCCCTTTCTGCACAGGCTTATACGAGCTAAACCAATTTCTGTTAGTGCAAATATGAAATGAACATGCGGAATCGAGAATCCATTCATCATGACCAGCAACACAACCAGCAAATACTACCAGACAATCTCCAGAATCATCATCAGACGCAGCAGCAGCAACAGAGACCTTACCAGCCGACTTGTTTTTCCGCTACGCTCCGGCCCAAGCCTCCGGCGACGGGCCTCCGCTTCGCTCCGTCAGAAGCCTGGCCTATATCCTGGAGTGAATTTGGAACAACTCCAACATAGTTTTCAGATAGTTTTGAGTTACCTTTTATTTGGAGGTCACTGCCGTGTAAACATTGTTGCATGTGTTTGTTTGTTTTTTTCAATCCCTTCCTGCAAGCATCGTTCATTTGCATATTCAGTAAGACAAATTCCTGAGGTTTTTTTTTTTAAACTTTTGCCTGATCATTAGTGGGAATGCGGGCATGTGTTCACTTTAGGGACTTCTAGGGATGGAATAGACCCATCCCTAATTTTTGGGATACACATCTATTCCCTATAATCCTATTTATGTTTGGATTTGGGGACACATGCACTGAGATGAAGTAGCTAACATATGGGACTCATGTGATCAAATCAAACAGTAGCCATTGATTCAAGACTATTTACTCTAATGATTTACCGGATTCAAGTAGACAAATTTGAGCTAAAACCCATGCCAAATTCCTACTCCGTGACACAATTTCCCTTATGCCTTGTTGTGAACAACTTGTCAATTCCCAGTGTAAGAAGACTCCTGGCCAAGCGCCACTGCTTCACCTCAGTTCCGCGTGGCACCTTGACGAACCGCTTCAAGATCCGGACCAGCTCCTCGTTCGCCTTGCTCCACCCTTTTACGGAGAAGCCATGGCGCTCCCCCGCAAACTCGACCAACTCCACAGCCTTTCCCACCTCCTCCAACCTCGCTGCGTAGCGCCGCATGTGGTCCCGGAGCGTGTCAAGCCCTGGCACCACGACGAGCGCCGGTGGCAGCGGCAGCGGCTCCAGGCCGGGGCTGTCCCGGGAGAACGGGTTGGCCAGCGGGTGATCTCTGGTGGCGCCCGCCGGCAGCACCAACCGCCAGATCTGATCGAACACGGCCGTCAGGGACACGTTGTCCGCTGACTCGGTCTCCGTCGCCGTGCGCTCGGCGCTGCCAAAGAACGCGGACAAGAGCACGTAGCCGGCGATGCGCGCTGGGTGGACCGCGAGCTTCCCCGAGGCGATCTGAACCACGACGTGGTGGGCGAGGTTCGCGCCGGCCGACACGCCGGACACGAACGTCTGCGCGAAGTCGGCCGACTCTTGGAGCCACGGCTCGGTGCCTTGGGCGCTCGCCGCGGCCTGCCTTCGCAGCCAGGAGAAGAACGTCACGCCGTCGTCGATGGCCGCGGTACTGGACGGAGAGCACCACGGCGGGGAGCTCGGCAGAGAAGCGCTGGCAGCAGGAGTGGAACATGGGCTTGTCGTAGCCGCCGATGCAGTACCCGCCGCCGTGGAAGTAGACGAGCACGGGGAGCTTCCCGTGAGCCGACGACGACCTGTACACGCGGACCTTGAGGCCGCGCGCCGCGTCGTAGGCGACGTCCTTCCACTGAACGCCGGGGACGTCAGGGAACGGCCCTGCCGGCATGAGGACGGATTCGTCACCACGGACAACCGAGCCGTCGCTGAGGAGGCGGACGACGCCGAAGAAGTCCTCGACGACGTGCGGCGCGGCGTCGCTGGACATGGTGAGCGATCGATCGACGGCGTCGGCGAGACGAGAAACTGGCCTTGAAAGTGGCAACACGCCACGCCATGCACGGTTTCAGCGTTGGATCTGAATGCAACTGAATAGAGGCTGACACAGACACCTCGCACTCGCTCGCACCGGACGTGCCAGGTCGAACATGTGATTGCGAGGTTTCATATGGCAGCCATGGCCGGGAGAGAAATATCTAAGCCAACTCAATAGTCAACACGGGTTTTGCCCCAATATAATAAATTAAATACTTTAAAATCCGAATACTAATCCGGATACGCCATATGAGATGTGACGATATGAGAGTGACTTGAAACCCAGCCGAGCGGGGCCATTCTTTGCTCGATGCAAATGTCATCGTGACATCATGCTTACGTCATGCACCTTCTTTTTGACTTTTTTTAACCCCAAATTCGACCTCTCGTTTTATTAAAAAAATATGTCGTATCAAGGTTAGATAACAAGCAAATTTTCTTTCTTTATTGGTTACTATAAACTTCATCCTTAATTCTTTATCGCTCCGCATATATGTTGTGTTTGGTTTTATTGTGTTTGCGATTCATGAACTATTTGCTTCTAATGTCTTCTAGAGTTAGAAAATATGATTCTTGTCATGAAAGGTACAAGAAGAAACAATAACCTGAACGGTTTACTCAGACTTAGAAAACAATGCTTAATATAAAGATATAATTGAAGATTTTATTTCAAAGAGTATAAGAGGAATAATGCTTTTTTACTACAAGTTAAGAAGATATGGGTAAGATTCACCTATTACTCCTTTAGCATGAATGCCTACTATAAATCTTAACTCTTTTTAAAAAAATGTTTATGTCTGTTATATTGTGAAATCCAAATGCACATTACTTATTTGTATTTTCCTAAAATATCTAGGCCTCATTTGTAGTTTGCACTACAGTCTAAAATTCTTGGATATCGGTTCTTCCCCTTGGCGCACCTAGGCCCCAGCTGATGATGTTCTGCTGGATCAACATGGTGAAGACGCCCGAGATGATCATGCCGAAGTCTGGAGGCGGTGGTGCGGAAGATGCAGCAGCATGGAGGAAGGCACAGGACGAGTTGGACCAGTGGGATGACCTAAACACTCGCCTCCTTCCCTACTTCTCCAATGCTGGTGCGGTCATCTCCTTCAGGTACTTTATTGGATCATCCTCTCGTGTAGTCCCATGTCCCAACTTGGCAGCCCAAGGTTTCACAACCATGATGCACTTTGAGACTGTTCTTTCATAATTGTTGTGCAGCACTTTTCTGAGATTGCAACAGCAAATTTTGAGGCTTCCTAGAATCCTTGGTTATTCTGTTAGCTATTGGTGGTCTGCAGTTTTGCTATTCGCAAAAGACGAATTATAAAGTTTTTCAGTCTAACTATTGTCACAACTCAAAAAAGGAAATCAATTTGTTTATGTAACAACTAGGCCCACCAAAATAGCTGCATACAGGAGTGATTGGTGGTCATTGCTGTACAAATTAATTTGCTAGGTTATGTGGATGGATCATTACCTTTTGTATAAAATATAGGAGTAATCTTTCTCAATTTTATGGTTATTCATCTATTAAGGAGGAAAAAAAACTATAAATATGTACGCGTCACAAGTGCATATCAACCATATATAATATTTGGTTTGTAGTGTCATAAGAGCAATTTTCATCATATTTTAGCCCACGTGCATAGCTACTAGTATAATAAAATACTCCAACTTTTATTAAGAAAGCGAGAGAAAACCGATAAATTTGAACTTTCATTCAAAGTTATTATTATTGTGTGACAATTGTGAGCTGGATGGCTCGAGTAGATAACAACACTACCAAGTAACCAGCCTATGACCTCTCTTGAGCACGGCGGTGGCGGCGCCGTGGTTTATGAACTGCTTCAGGATTCGCATCAACTCCTCTGTCGCCTCGCTCCACTGTCCGACAGAGAAGCCATGTCGCTCCCCAGCGAACTCGGCGAGCTCCACGGCCTTCCCCATCTCCTTGAGCCTGGCGGCGTAGCGAAGCATATGGTCATACAGCACGTCGCGCCCGGGCGCCACGACGAGCGCCGGCGGCAGCGGCAACGGCAACGGCTCCAGGCTTGGGCTGTCGGGGCCGAACGGGTTCGCCAGCGGGTGGTCCCTGGTGGCTCCCAACGGCAGCGCCATGCGCCAGGCTATGTCGAGCGACTCCACCGTCACGGACACGCCGGCCGGGGGATGGGACTCCGACGCCACGCGCTCGTCGCTGCCAAAGAACGCGGAGAAGAGGACGTATCCGGCGACGCGCACCGGGCCAGGCACGATCTGCCCGGAGGCGATTCGGACCACGACGTGGTGAGCCAGGTTGGCACCGGCCGACACGCCGGACACGAACGTCCTGGAGAAGTCGGCCGATTCGGCAAGCCACGGGTCGGCGGCCGCGCCCGGTGCCGGTGCGGCCTGCGCGCGCAGCCAGGAGAAGAACGTCGCGGCGTCCTCGATGGCAGCGGGGAGACGGTGCTCGGGAGCGAGGCGGTACTGAACGGAGAGCACGATGGCGGGGACCTCGGCGGCGACGTGCTGGCAGAAAGCGTGGAACCCGGGTTGGTCGTAAGCACCGATGCAATAGCCGCCTCCGTGGAAGCACACGAGCACCGGGAGCCGCCTGCCGCCTTTGGGCGCGGCCTCCGGCGACGTGTACAGGCGGACCCTGAGGCCGCGCGCCGGGTCGTACACGACTTGCCTCCACTGAACGCCCGGGACGCCGGGGAATGTCACTCCCGGTGGAGTGAGGACGGATTTGTCTGCGCGGACGACGGACCCGTCGCTGAGGAGCTGGACGACGCCGAGGAAGTCCTCCACGACGTGGGGTGCGGTGGTGATGCCGGACATGGTGTCAAGGACGACGCGGGCGGGCTCACGATTTGCCGCGCTCGACGCTGGATCTATAGGCAAAATTTCTGCGTGCGTACGTTCGCTTTCTTCTGAATGGAAATCGGAGCACGAAGGTTCTTGTTGTGCGCTCGTGTCACGGTCGCTTGTGGACTTGCCAGGCCCAAGCGGACCCAGGCTTCCTCGTCATGTGCTCGAATTTGGCCGTGACTTTGGAGGCCGCCCACCATCTGAGAAAAATCAAGAGAGGAGCCGAGGTTCTCTTGTACTTGTAAGAAAATTTGCTAGCAGACACCGAAAGTGTGGTCGCTTTGCCAGTGAACACTGAAAAAAGATCGATCTAGGTCCTGTTCATGTGTCTTAAATCTGGCTTGATCCGCTTCTTTTTTCATCCGGAACAGTATTTTCCTCTCACAAATTTCTCCAGCATTCCTCCAAACCATCCAAATTCCTCCAGAATTCCTCCAAGCGAACAGGCCCCTAGACTAAAAAAAGAAAAAAGTTCGATCTGCCGGTGGACACTCTAGTTTGTGCCAAATTTTCTAGAGGACAATGAATGCATTAAAATATTTATTTCTAGTTCAGAAGGTGAGAGAACAACTGTGAAATGATGTTTTTGCCACTATGTGTAATATCTTTCATAGTTGTAATGGAGATTGGATTATGCAATGTATTTTTTCCACACTGGTACCTGTTTATTTATTTATTTATTTATTTACTATATGTTTTGGTATATAATGTTACTCCCCCATTACAAAATTTAAGATATTTTGGCTTTCTTAATATATATTATTACTTTTACTATGTACCTACAAAAAGCCTTGTAATTTGGAATGGAGGAAGTACATTTTAATAGGATCCACACGGCAGTTTTTATCCATGAGAGGAAAAGAGATGATTTTTTAACTTCATTTATCGTAATACTTATGGAAATCAAACTATTTTTTAAGTTCAATATTAAATTTAGAATTGATTTTAAGAGAACAAATAATTTAGAAGTAAAGATTACGAATTATCTCAAAATTGTTCTTCCAAGCATAGTTTGATGGATGTTGATTGTAATTTTTGATGAAATTTTTTGTCTCAATGTCTTATCTTTGTCTCTCTTTTCGAAGATGTGTTCGTCGAAATAGGATGCTGATTGCTAGGGCTACTCGTTGGCCTGATCTCCCTATGATGCTTGAAACGGATTGTACTGTTATTGCCGAAAAGCTGAAGAGAAAGGAGAAAGACCGATCAGTGGCGTGGTCGATTTTGGTCATGTTCACTTGTTGTAATCCGTACTTTTCAGCTTCTTTTTTCAGCCGGAACAATGTTTTTCTCTAACAATAAATCAGCCGGAACAGTATTTTGTCTTGTTTTTCAGCGAAGCGAACGAGGCCTTTACATGAAGCACGGCATACAAGGGAGGATCTTCATAGCTTAGAGGTGGTTAAGATTAGTAGAAGTCAAAATAATGTAGCTCATGAACTCGCCCATTATGCTCTTAGATCAAGTAGTTGTCAGGTCTTTTTTTTGTTTTTTCTTGAGTTTGTTCAGTCCCTGGTCTGTAATGATACGATTTGATCTTCAATAAAGTTTATTTATTCGCGAAAAAAAATAGGAGAAGAGTTTCAAGTTTATATTGTCTACGTCGTGCAGACCAGGGAGGCGAACACGAAACACGCAAGAGAGGATCCGTCGCGCGCTGCTGTCTGCTGACCTCGAGAGAGAGGAGGAAGTCATGGCAGCTCGCATCCGATCGTGATTTCGCCGGGTTTTTAGTCGACTCCCCGATACGATAGCATCGCCGGTGCCGGTGTTACTGGAGCATGGCCGCTATTAAAACTTGTTGGCGTAAACAACGACAGCGACTTGATGAGTGAAAAACACAAAAATGCGAACAAGAACAGAAAGGCGAGCAACACCAACTCGACGAGGACGGCTAGCTCTTCCACCATGGCATCATCAACCATAGGCCGGGCCGCCGACCGCCGGCGTCAGCGCTGCCGGTCACTTCAAGTGGAACACCGGTGTACAAATCGCTTCAAGATCCGGATCAACTCTTCGTTCGCCTGGCCCCACCGCAGGACGGAGAAGCCGTGCTGCTCCCCCTCGAACTCGGCGAGCTCCACGTCCTTCCCCATCTGCTTCAGCCGCGCCGCGTAGAGCAGCACGCGGTCGCGGAGCACGTCGACCTCGGGCGCCTCCACGAGCACCGGCGGCAGCGCCACGGGCTCCAGGTCAGGGCTGTCGGGGCCGAACGGGTTGGCCAGCGGGTGGTCGAAGGTCGCCCCCACCGGCAGCGACATGCGCCAGAGCTGGTCCGACATGGCGACCGTCAGCGAGACGCCGTCCGGGGGTGTCGACTCCGTCGCCGTGCGCTGGACGCCGCCGAGGAACAAGGACAGGAGGACGTGCCCGGCGAGGCGCACCGGGGCGAGGTCGATCTGCCCGGAGCCGGCCTTGACCGCGAGGTGGTGGGCCAGGTTGGCGCCCGCGGAGACGCCCGACAGGAACGTCCGGGCGAAGTCGGCCGACTCCGCGAGCCACGGCTCGGCACCGCTACCGCTTGCGGCGGCGAGGGCCGCCTGCCCGCGCAGCCAGGCCAGGAACTTCACGCCGTCCTCGATCGCCGCCGGGAGGCGGTGCTCGGGGGCGAGCCGGTACTGGACGGAGAGGACGAGCGCGGGGAGGTCGGCCGCGAGGCGGCGGCGGAGGTAGTGTCCGCCTCCGAGCTGGTCGTAGGACCCGATGCAGTAGCCGCCTCCGTGAAAGTGAACCAGCACCGGGAGCTTACTTTTGTTACCTCCGTCGTCGCCGGCGTCCGCTGCCGCCGCCGGCTTGTACAAGCGGACCTTGAGGCCGCGCGTCGCGTCGTACACGGTGTCCTTCCATTGAACCCCCGGAACGTCCGGGAACGGCTCTGCCGGCATCAGGGCCGCTTCGTCGCCGCGCACGACGGTGCCGTCGCTGAAGAGCTGGACGGCACCGAAGAAGTCCTCCACGACGTGCGGCGCCGTGTCGCCGGACATGTTGGTGATGATCGTCACGAACTCACGATTGGATTGGAGGGGGTTGACTTGGATTTAGGAGGTCGTCTGAATGAGAACTAAAGAGGAAGAGTGAGGTGAAATTCGAGGTCCTCGTTGTACGCTGTTTGTCTTCATCTGCTGGCGCATCTGATATCTTGTTATAGGAATCCTGCACCAAAAAGTCAACGCAGCGTGGTCACGTCGTCCGTTTTTCCTGGCCATCCGATCAGCCGTGCGGACTGCCCAGATCGTGCGAGCTCTGGTCTTTTTTTAAAAAAAGCCTCGAACTTTAGTTGAGTCAACCCGTAGTCCAAGCCCCGTCTTAGGGTTTTTTTCAAAAAAACCCGCAAACTTTATCGAAATCAACCCTCAATCTAGGCTTTTTAAATGGGACGGCCTGCCTCCCGCTCGGGCCTGTATATCGCCGGACCTGAGCTTTACTGGGTTGAATTCAGCCCGACGATGTTTTTCTATTTTCCTGCGAATTTATTATTTATCTAAAACGGTTGAAATTTTGTAAAGACCATAATAAAACAAATAAAAATAAAAAATGGCAAACTAAGTTTGTTGAACTCTACACAACTAGCACTGCACTATAAACACATAACATCACATGTTTTAGTGTAATTTTTTGCTATTAATGTGGATCTAGATTTTTCTAGAGTTTTCTAAAAATAACTAATAGAGTTAATTTCTTTATTTCAATTGCTATGAAATTTTTACGGTAGCTTACCCATACCACGCATAAAATAAAATGATTGAGTGATTTTACCGGCTTTACGATCCTCTCTCTCTCTCTTATATATATATATATATATATATATATATATATATATATATATATATATAACATGTATGAAATAACATTCTATAATTACAATTATAGTAATATAGCGCAAAAAAGCAAGCATAGTTAACGAACCCTAGTCCAACAAGTTCACCGAACCTAAACAGGTGCGCATAGCTTAGTTTGTAAATTTAAATAATTGAAATAATACTTGCCTGCTGCATCTTTGTTACGTGCTCCCATTCTTGAATAATTTGGTCAATCAGAGATTAATACTAGGAACTGCTGCATACAATATATAATCAGCTGCAATCTATTGGAATGACCACTTCCCCTAACATTGGCCTTTTCAGGAAAAACAACAAGCAAACCAATACTTGTACCCAAGTTCTTTTCAAATAAATTATCAATTAATTAAATCTATTACATTAAAATGGTCTCACATTGGTCGGCACGCGGCAACGCCACTGCACAAAAACCAAGCTAACGGATAGGGCCAAGTCGTCCGTTAGCTCATTGTCGTCGTCCGATCTGGCGAAAGCACGATGTGGACCGTTCGATCGGGCTAGTCGCAGGTCTCCCACCATTAAGGCACGAACCCAGAAGGTCACGAATACTCGCAAATCGACCCGTCACCTCCGCAGCGCGTCTCCTTCCTCCCGCTGCTCCACTATCCCCCGCGGACTGTTAATTTGTTATGAATAGTATATAACTGAAAAGTGACAAATTCAGGATAAACCGGATCAGAGCTTGCACATACAAGCTGGCCCTTTATATGGATTCGGATCCGCATCATCGCTGGCATGTGGACATGTGGTGGCCGTTGACTGGTTGTCTTGTTGTGATCGAGAAACGCTATGTATTTGAAAAGATAAGGAATGCCATTCGGGCTTTGTTTTCCTTACCATGACTAAGAATTGATATGGGCTGACGCTAGATATGCTTGCGTGGGCCAGAAAATAACGTCGAGATTGTAGCCCATCTTGTCGAATGCTTTCTCGGCCTATTGAGGTACCAGGAAACTAATATAGAGGGAAACAATAAGGGAAGATTCTTTCGAAAATCCATAAACCAAGTGAAAGTTTTGTGTGAGAGAAAGTAAAATCTGCACTTAAGGGCATGCAGCACTGGATGTGCATCAGGATACGTGCACATCAGGAAAGAGACATCTAATGGTGCACGTCAAGAGAGCATGTGCCCGGTTATTCATTCGACCACAGATGGTGTTCAAGACCTTGCCATGTTCTTACACTCCTACGTAGAGAGAATCAAGGGAAGCAAAGTGCCAAGAACAAGACGTTTTTATTAGACCAACGACCACCAGCTATTCCGCACTAGTAGCGGCGTTCTCTCTGTAAACAAAGCGCTTCACGACTCGGATCGTCTCGTTGGTCCCCTCGCCCCACGGCTGGCGGGAGAAGAAGGCGTGCTCCTGCCCCTCCAGGACGGCGACCTCCACTGGCTTATCCATCTCCTCGAGCCTCGCCGCGTAGCGCAGCACGCGCTCGTGGAGGATGTCGCGGCCGGCGGACACCACGAGGACCCGCGGGAACACCACGGTGCCCAGCGCGGGGCTGTCGGGGCCGAACGGGTTTGTCACGGGGTGGTCCCTGGTCGCGCCCACGGGGAGCGACAGGCGCCACATCGTGTCGGCCATCTCGGTCGTGAACGACGGCGAGACGGCTGGCGGCGGCGAGGCCTCAGCCGCGGTGCGCTGGACCCCGCTGAAGAACGGCGTCAACAGGACGTGCCCGGCGACGCGCAGCGGGGCGAGCGGGAGCTGGCCGGACCCGTGCCTCACCGCGACGTGGTGGGACATGTTGGCGCCGGACGACTCTCCGGCCACGAACACCCTGGTGAAGTCGGCCGACTCGGCGAGCCAGGGATGGTGATGGGCGCCCGCGACGCTGACGACCGTTGCGTGCTGGTCACGTAGCCAGGACAGGGCGGCCGCGGCGTCGTTGATGGCGGCGGGGAGGCGGTGCTCGGGGCCGAGGCGGTAGTCGACGGAGAGCACGACGGCGGGCAGCTCCGACGCGAGGCGGAGGCACCCGGTGTGGAAGTTGGGCTGCGAGAACGTCCCGAGGCAGAAGCCGCCGCTGTGGAAGTACATGAGCACCGGCAGCTTCTTCTTCGCCCTGGCGGCGTCGCCGGCAGTGGCCGCGGCCGGCCGGTACACGCGTAGGCTTAGGCCGTGCGCGGCGTCGTACACGACGTCCTCCCACTGGACGCCCGGGACGTCAGGGAAGTGCTCGTCGGACGGCCGGAGGACGGCGGGGTCGGAGCGGACGACGGTGCCGTCGCTGAGGAGCTGGATGACGCCGCGGTAGTCCTCGATGACGCGTGGTGCCGTGTCACTGGACATGGTGCTCCACAGTCGACACTGCATGAAACGGCAGTTCGCTGATTGAAGGCGTCTCGTGTCATTTATATACGGTGTACTACTCTCCAGTAGTGATTAGTGAGCACTAGTCGTCTTTACCTAGTAAAAAAAAGAAGCAGAAACTCGTTCGTTTCGTGTACGCCAAGTCCGTTGAGTGTGAGAAGTTGTGGTAGGCTTGGGCTCTGGTGGGAACTTGGGAAGAAAGAAAAGACAAGGAAGTGTCAGTCAAACTCCATATCGTGGATAAGACCATGTGTATTATTGTAATAGTAGCATTCTGCATTCGAATGAAGTTTATGTGGACTTGTGGGGTACGAAGTGGTTACACTACTAGCGCGCGATGATTCTGTGTGTTGGGAAACAGACGAGAATTGTTTTGTTGGTTCATCGTTTTCTGCAGCGAGATGTTCCACGTTGATGTCCATTTTGTATAGCCGCACTTGTGTGGGCTTGCCGTGGGAAAACTGTCCTTGTACCACATTCGAAACCCCCCCGCCAAACCCCCCCCCGGCGGCGCTCATTTCCTATTAAATCGAATGTTGGCCTCAACTCTTATAAAACAAACTCCTTATTTTTTTTCAAAGAAATTTAACTTTTGTAGATACGCATCACTTTGATATACACTATATTTAGATACATAATAAAAATAAATATATCTAAAAAAATCAAAATGTCTTATAATTTGGGACGGAGATAGTATCAAAGTAGTTGGTTGAGACAACGACTTTAGCTTAGGTAGCGCCACATCGACTGCTAGAGTGGTAAGAAGCCTATTTGATATAGCTCCTCCCGCTCATGATTCTATATGAGAAGTCATTTTCTAATAGATGTGATTCTCATGGATTATCTAAGATAAACTATAGGTAAAAATATTGTATTTGTGTTTTTTCTTGCCTCTAAAACCGGCATAGTTGTCGGAATTGTAAAATATAACATCTAACTGGCCGCTTTGGGCCGCATATAATGAATCGGGTGGGGATCTCCTCCCCCCTCCCCCGTTGACTTAAAAAAACTATAGGTAAAAGATGTTTCTGTGCAAGAAATGAATTCAGAGAAGCTACCTTTTTTAATTTCTAGCCTCTTAGTCCATTTTAAAAAATCATTTCATAGAATCAACATACAATCAATTTATATAAAAAAAATACTTTGAGACAGAGCTCATCCTACATTCAGCATAAAAGATGCTCTTTGGAGCTCTGCCAAACAAACTTATAAATTGGACCGCATTGATAGTTCAAAGGTCTAATGCGCTTTACCAAAATAGGTTATACAAACACTTCTTTTCAAAAGAAAATCCGCCTTTTTGGGAAAACTATATAATTAAAAAGGGTTTGTCTATTCTAAACCAGGGTAAAAATCCTCTCTCCACTCCTATTTTTTTCATATCTCTTTCTTTGCCTTTTTCTCCCTAGATAATATTAGCGACACTAGATAGCGCCCGGACGTCTGGACACAGCCTCCGCGTCTACGCCCGACGCAGCGTCCGCGCCCATCTTGCTCTGGACGTGACGTTCGTCCAGACGGAGCCCCTACGCCCGCACCCAACGAAGCTCCCTTGGCCGCGCCCGATGAAGCCCGAAGTAGGCCGCGAACATGGCGATGGCATAGGCGAGCAGGTTGTTGATTCAGGAGCAGCGCAATGAGAACCCAATCCATGACAGCGCGGGCGTGACCCTGCGCGTCCTCCAGTGGAGTGTTGCCGCCAACTTACCAGCCGACGCCGCCATGGATCCCGTGCTAGCTTTCTCTTCCTCGCTCGACAACCCTACATCCAGATCTACTTTTGCAACACTCAAATAAAAATAATTGCAACATTCGTCTAAAACAAATGAAACATTTGAAACATGCACTTACAACATATATGCAACATCCAGATATAACAATTGCAACATACGTCTCAAACAGATTAAACATTTTAAACAAACTCTTGCAACATACGTGTATAACCATTGCAACATGTGCAATATCCATATGAAACACTTGCAACATACCTTTTAAACAACTGGAACATAAGTTTACAACACGCGTTTTCAGCGCAACATGACGCGGGTGGCGCAGCAAAGCTGACGCGGTGGAGACGACCACTATAGGCAGATGGAGGCGCCCCAACACGGTGCAAACGGATGGAGCGACTACGGCGGGCGAGGTGGAGGCGTCAAATCCGAGGGGGCGGAGGCGGACGACATGGGCAGATGGAGACCCGTGGCGGTCAGGGCGTGCGGCGCGGGCAGGGCGAGGGCGCTTGAGTGAGCGAGCGGCATGGGCGGGAGTGAGTGGAGCGAGACGTCCGAACGGTCAGATGCCCTACCGAGAGCATTACCGAGATACACATCAACAATACACATCCATTGGAACACTAACGTAATGACACATGGCCCCGTTCGGCTTGCTGAAACTTGGCTGAGATTGGCTGGAAAACACTGTTTTGGCTGAAAATGTTGTGAGAGAAAAACGTTATTCCAGCTGAAAAAAAGAAGCCAAACAAGCCGGATTTAAGGTAAGCCGAACGGACGTATAGCATACACCCAGATGAAATTGGAAAATAAATTGCAGTACCATTTAACTTATATGTCACCATTTCGACGTAACATATATACCACCAAGCTTCATCATCCATTTAAGCAAAGGGAATCTACAAGCAAATCTGCTTTCAGAGCAAACGCTCCATGCAGCGAGCTTTGATTTGGAGATGTTACCGTGGTACAAAGAACATGAATTGGCTCAGCAACCGTGGATGACAGGTACAGTCATCATGCCACAGTCATCATGCCATAAACTCTGGCACTGTTAACCGTCATCATGCTCTAGATTTATTTGCAAAACTATGACCTTGTCGTAGTGTTTTTTTTACAACTATTTTTTTAACAGTAGATACCTCCAAACCTAATGTTTCATCAACCATTTTCCATGTTGATTTTAGATTGACATTTTTTTCCAGATCCTAGGTGCCTGTGTGGCTCTAGCCTTCATCCGTGCCACTTAAATAAGTATGTTTCTCTTGCATACAAACAGAAGGCGTGTGCTTGTCTCTTCAGCATTCCACTTCAGTTGCTCCTGTAAATCCCCATTCTCTGCTTCTGTTTCCTACCAGAATAGGTGCTCCTGACAGTGAACAGTGCCTACGAACAAACAAGCACCGAGATCTAGAGCCCGTTTTGTTGGGCCTCATGATTATTGTCGCCAAGGTGTTTCATCGAACACCCAATGGGCTGTATTTGTATGGGATTAAACTCTAAGGACTCATGGGATCATGAATCTGACACATGATAATTGTACATGAATGTGTAACTTTGAAATTACTTGGGACACCTACATTTGTTACCTTATGCAACGAATTGTTATCTACCGCGAACCACCAATATTGTATTTTCATATTATTGCAGTGTTTGGCCTACGATAGGTTTACATAATGACCTCATTTATGTTATTTTTTTCGAAACTGTGGTTGGGTCTCAACGAATCTTTACATATGAAACCTGAACCCAAAAGCTGGCCGGCGAGCGTGCCACGTCGCCTGCTTTTCCTGGCCGTTCGATCGGGCGCGTGGACGGCCTAGATTGGGCGAGCCGCGGTGTTTTTACAAAAAAACCCTCGAACTTTAGTTGAATCAAGCCGCAGTCCATGTCTCGTCTCAGTTTTTTTTTGAAAAAAGCCCTCGCTCCTCCACCGCTGCTCTCCCTCGCCTGCCTCTCACCTCCATCTCGCCCTCCCCTTCCTCTCTCTCTCTCTCTCTCTCCTTCCCTCCTGATGCGGCAGCGGGTGCCAGGCGACGGCGCCCCTGCCCCTCCTCCCAGCCGCGCCGGGAGAGCAGCCGCTCGCGCTGGTGAAGCCGCCCTGCGCTGAGGTCCTAGCGAGCCCGTGCTGGAGAAGTCGAGTGTGCCTGGAAGATGGCCGCGCACGTCCACTGGAGCCAAGGGCACGGCGCTCGCCCGCCGGGGACGTCGTGGGAGAGGAGGCGCCGGGGCCGCCGCGCACGAGACCCCACACGCACCATGTGGCAGGAGCCACCGTGCCCGCGCCCCTCGCTCGCTACAAGGTGCCCGCGGCCGCCTCACGCGCCAGGGTAACCGCGACCGCCGCGCCGTGCGCTCGCGTCAGGGTGTCTGGGGTTGCCTTGCCCGTGCGCCTCCCCGCCCTTGCCGGGGCGTTGGTGCCCCCCAGGCCCCAACCGCGCCGGGAACACTGCGTCCACGCTGGGCCGCCGCTGGAGACGCTGCCGTGACAGGGAGAGAGAGAGCTGCGCCCTAGCTGAGTGCTCGATAAAATGCTTAAAAGGTCTGCCTCATCCAGTCCAGTGAACTTAATTTTTCTGATACAACAGTTGGTTCTTTAATTCATTACCATATAATAAATTCTCAGTCCATTGGTCAGAATGAAATTCCTCTTATCCTCAGCTTAAACATGTTGTTGGCATCAATGAATTCTTGCTCTTTGCAATGACTTTATCTTGATTATACAGTTCAATTAGCTTCCTCGCAAATCTTCATTAAAAAACATACAATTTATTACAGATTATCATGGAATTCATAAGAATCCCATAAACTTTGTTGGGACTAGCACTTCGGAATCAACTGAAGAAACTGAACCTATTGTTGATTGCTTCGGATGACTTCCAATATTATAATAAAGCAATTTCTTATCAGCTGAATTTCTATATGTCCAACTTCAATTTTATACTATGTGAAAGGCAGGTATTATGGTATTTACGCCACTTAATAACTTAATTAGTACATATCAGTTGTTTTTTAAGCTGACATGTTATCACAGAGTATCAGGTTTGCCATTATATATGGATGTCCCACTGATAACATGCTAATACCATGACCATGTGACCCCTTCGATGTCCTACAGACTGTCCTCATGATTTTTGATGACATGTCTACATGGAACTATTAGACACAAATGTCAAGTCACTAAGGTGTAGCATCTTTGCTTTGCTCGTGCTGTTACTTTTGATGCCAGTTTCAAAGGTAAGACATATT